GTGGACGTGTACTCCCGCAAACAGGTCGTACCCGGCGAGGAGAACGTCCTCAACTGCTTCGTGAGTGGTTTCCACCCGCCGAAGATTGACATCTCCCTCCTCAAGAACGGGGAGCCCATGAGCGGCGTCAAGTACGCGGACATGTCCTTCAACGACAAGTGGTATTTCGAGCGTCTGGTGTACGCGCCGTTCACCCCGGCGAAGGGCGACGTCTACACTTGCAGGGTGGCCCATTCCACCTTCCCAGAGCCACGTTCTTTCCAATGGGGTATCGTCTGCCTTCCTCTTAAAGCTTTGCCGCCGTCCGCGTGCGGAAACCACAGCTCCTTAATTTATATCCGTTCTGCTTCTCAGGAAACAGGGTGCTGTAATGGGGCGGATTTTGAAGGTCTTGGGCTATAGATGGAAAATGAATTTGGCTTCAGCTGGGCTGCTGAAAAGGCTGTGTAGTCGTGAAAGAGGTCCTTAGTAGTAGACAGGGAAGACTTCCCTCCGGATTATCTGTAGGCTTTTGGTTATGCTGTGTCCGATGACTCTTGAGCGCTCTGATCTCTTTCTAGGTGAACTTGCCTAGAAAGGGATGGGTCATGCAGCGACTTTTGGCTTTATATTTGGTGAATATAAAGAAGGACGTAGCGGTGGGGTCCGATTGTGGTGACCCAGCCTGCTGCAGCAAGGAGACAGCCAAGCAAGGGCAGCTCCCTGGTTACTGCACTGGGGCTGTTTCCAGCAGGGCTGGGCTTGTGGCGATGGGTGAGAGGGGGTGCTGTTTGCCCCAAATCCTAACGCTCTCCCCTTCTTTCTTGCAGATCCAGACTTCTAGGCTGTGTCTGGGAAAATCATGGTGAGTTATGTTGATGCTCTATGCTGTGCTGGTAAGGGCAACATGGACTGCTTTCTGGTGGTGGTGGGGAAGTCTGTAGCTTGCGGAGTTGAGGAACAAGAGCAACCACCGAAAAAAAGAAATACATTGGGAGCGGGGCTGTTCCGACACCCTTTCTACCCGCTATTTTAGTGAGTTCTCAGCCATGCCTGGCCTACAAGAGTCTCCTTTGCTCAAAAGAAAGGAGCCCCTTGAAGCAGAACTTCCCCACGCGTCTTTGGTGCGCCTGCCAGATATCGTTGAGAGTTGTCCCGTGTCCCCTGGAGCTTTTCCAGACCCCATGCTGCTATCTTCTTGGCTGGTGAGGAGGAAGTTGCCATGCCTGGGAAATCCCTGTGACTTAGAGGGTGGCAGGCTGGTTAACGCTGCGGCGGGCAGCCGGCCAGCTCCGTGACGGGGGATTTTCGAGGCGCAGGTCAGTGCCTTGCTGCCGGACCAGAAACGGTCTTGGTTTTGTTCACCGGTGTGTCGCAGTCTGAGCGCTCTGGGTTCCTCAGGCTATCTGAGCATTAGGCATGGCTGACCTGGATTGCTCAATCCAGAGTTGACAGGGAAAAGAAAATGAAAGGTACACGGCGTAGCTGCAGTGCTGGTTGAAACACCTGAGTTACGTGTGCTGGTAGAGGCTGGATAACTATTAACTGCACCCAGGACAAGCCTTGGCAAGACCTCACTGGAAATACCCTCCACGTTGGACCACAAAACGTTACCGATGCCTTTCAGACCGAGGCAGAATCATGAGGCAAACGAACTTTGTAAATGAGGGAAAAATGCTTTGGGCGTTTGTTCTTGGGAAGGTGTAGATGGATCCGAGTCCTTTACTTCTTGCTGTCCAACTCTGCTGTCCCTGAAAAGCTCTCCAGCCCTTTCTGTAGAGCAGCAAAGGCTAGAGGGGGTGTTAGTCTTCCAGGGACAAGAGAAAATGGAGGTCAGTTGACCAGCTGGAGACAACAGAAGAAGATAGGCTCGTAGATCTCAGCTTTTCTGCTACAGATTGGTAGTGGGGGCTGGGGAAAGGCTCAAGAGATTCCCCCAGAGCCAAAAATGGTTGGGTTGGAAGGATATTTAGAAAGGATGCTGTAAGTGCTGAAGTGTTGGCTTCTAACTGCCACTGGAGACGGGATGCTGAGGTAAATGGACCCCTGATTTGGTACAGTATAGATGCTTTTAGGTAACAGAGCTCTGAAAAATTACATATGGCCGCTCTGCTGGTTTGTCACTTGCTTTTGGGTGGTGGGGATGGAAACGTGGCCCCAGGGTGGGGTCTGGGGCATGCTGTGACTGCGGCAGCAGGGTGTGCAGCGGCTTCGGTGGGATGTCGGCGTGAGGGTCACCGATGGCGAGGGGTGCCGGGCTTGGTTGGAGGTGGGACATTCGTGACTTTGCCAGAGTCTGGAGTCTCCAACTCTGCAGTTGGAGTTCCCTTGTGGAAAATACTTCTTTTTTTTTCCTAAAATAAATACAATTGAAGGTGTGAACAGAATAACTGATGTCAATCTCCTTTCCCCCGTGCAGGTCTGACAGAATTCCAGCGTACAAGGCAAAATGGTCTTGAGCTTCTGTCCTTTCTTCACATCACACTTGGAGTCAATATGGGAAAGAGCAATTGTCTTCATTGCAGAATTCAGTCTTTAGTAAAGCTTATAGTGAAAATGCTGTGTACTCAGTTATGTACTCAAAAGTACTCAAAAAGTACGCAAAGCTTGGCTTTGATTTTGAGCATGTATCTGCGTTACTGATTAAAAACCAAATAAATTTACCTAAATAAATTGGAAGACTTCAGAGTCCTATGACAACCTGAGCTGTGAGTTCCTGGGCTCTGATGGCTGCTGGGTTGTGGGTGGATCTGGAGGGTGGTGGCACCATACTTGGGTGCAATTGAAAGTCTAAATTTAGACTTGAGGGTTGTTGTGATGGGGAAAAAAAAAAAAAAAAAAAAAAAAATTAAAGGTTTATCTGGTTTATGTAGGATCTGCCTGGCCACAGGCTCCTGAGTTGCCCTGAAAGGATGGCACAAGGCTTAAAAAAGGGGACAAAGTAACTTTGAGGACACCCGGTCTGATCTTAAAGCTGGGTGAGGAAAAGGAGTGGGTGGGTGGGATGTGGTGCCCACTTCGAGAGGGGAACTCCAGCTGATGCTTCTCAGAGGTGGGTGGTGTGGTGTAAAGCTGGGCTGAGGAGAAGCAGACGTGTGTGTCACTGACTTCTGGTTTTCTTCTTCTGCAAGCAGTGGACTCTGTGGAGAAGCTCTATTGGGGGCCGGTCTTCTGCCACGCCTCAGGGGTTTGGTGGCACTACCCAAAAATGGTGCTACTTGGTAGAATCCAGCAGCCTGCTTTTATTTTATGAAGAAGTCAGTACGATGGCTTGGTGACCGTTGGATCAAGGAGGATGTCGTCAGTGCAGATCTCATGTACGTGAACAAGGGTTCCTGGCAACCCAGCAGGTGTGATCTATCACACGTGTCTTCTTGGGTGTCATTAAGATTTGCTGTGACCAGTGTCACGGAACACCCACTGGAGGTTTTGAGGGATCTTGGCTTGTTGCACAGGTTTTTTTTCCATTAAACCCAGATTTTTTTCTGATGTACAATAATAAGAACTGGCCTGTGCAGACCTCTGGCTTTGCTCAAACAGACATTGAACTCAAGACAAATTCCTTGCTACAAGCAATGGTTTGCTGGGGCGGAGGGAGCCGTTATGGGGACTTTGCACTCACCAGAGGAGCGTTCAAACTGGAGAGCTGGGGATGTCCTGGCTGGGTGGTCATGTGCTGTGGTTTAGTCCCAGGTGGCAGCTAAGCACCATGTAGTCACTCCCTTCAGTGGAGAGGGGAAAAGTGTCACAAAAGGCTCAAGGGTCGAGGTAAAGAACAGGGAGGGATCACTCACCAACCATGACTCTGGGCCAAAACTGACTCAGCTTGAGGATAAATCCATTTAATTTGTTACCAATCACATCAGAGGTGATAATAAGAAACAAAGCCAGATCTTAAAAACACCTCCCCCCCCCCCTCCGTTCCCAGTTCTACCTCCTCCCCCAGCAGCGCAGCGGGACAGGAAATGAGGGGGTTGTAGGTCAGGTCAGTTCATCACATGTTGTTTCTGCTGCTCCTTCCTCTTCAGGAGGAGGACTCCTCACACTCTTCCCCTGCTCCAACATGGGGCCCCTCCTCACAGGAGACAGTTCTCCATGAACTTCACCAGCATGAGTCCTTCCTGCAGAATCCTGTCCTTGCCCATCAGATTGCTTTGGCATGGGCTTTCCCACAGTCATGGCTTCTTTGGGTACAGGCAACCGCTCCGGTGTGGGATCCTCTATGGGCTGCAGGTGCATCTCTGCTCCACCATTAATCTCCACGGGCTGCAGGGGAATCTCAGCTCTGCCACACCTCATCCCACTCCATCTTCACTGCGTAGCTGGCTGTTTCACATCAGTTTTAGCCCCTTCATTGTTGGATAACACTCTCAGTGAACCTCAGCAGTCCCGGCAAGACAAACTCCTCCCAGCAGGTGCCCCGGGAGCAGGGCGCTTTGGAGCGCTCCAAGCTGCGCTGCTGCAGCCATCACCAGTTGAGTGGTGGCAGCCCAGCACGGGCAGCTGGGGGCCAGGTCCCATCCCTGTCCCCCTCCTCCGATTACCCTCTCTTTCTTCACTGCAGGTCCCACCTGGCATCACTTTCTTCGTCTCCTTCTGAAATATGTGTGTTCTTCACAGAGGCACTGATTGGCTTGGCCAGAGGCAGGTCTGACCTCAAGCCAGGGAAGCTTCTAGCAGCTCCTTACTGGGATTATCCCTGTAGCTGCTCTCCTGGTACCAAAACCCCATCACACAAACCCAGCAAATCATGCAAAACACTCGTCACCCAGCTTGTGACCCAGCGTGGGATGGC